TATATATATATATATATATATATATATATATATATATAAATAAAAGGAAAGAACAGTAAGATATATAATCCGGTGTTCATATAGATATTTTTATTTTTCCAAAATAGTGCTCAATGTAAATTTACAGAGCATTAATATTATAAATTAATTTATTTAAAATATGTTTTTTTCATGACACAGTTCTAACCATGTTTCAAAATGGAAGCTAAAAGCGATGAATATATATATATATATATATATATATATATATATATATATATATATATATATATATATATATATTCGCTGACGAACTGGGAACACCACCCAGGAAAATATAGTCGTACGCCAAAAAAGCGTAGGTACGCGTACATGTATTAATTTATATATATATATATATATATATATATATATATATATATATATATATACACACACCACACAAATATACATAGTCATATATAGTCAGACTGTTTCGCAGTATCACAGCTCATCAGTATATATATATATATATATATATATATATATATATATATATATATATATATATATTAAACTCTATTTAAAGTAGGTACTCATATTTGAATCGGCGCCCTGTTTACTTATTAAAGAATTTATTTATTTTCGTCTAACGGCCTGAATCTTCGAGAATTCTTAATAATGAAAGATTTTCCTCCCCGGCAGCATTTAAATATGCGTCCGTCCGGGCAGAGTTAGCTAGAGTTAAGCCCCGCACGACTTAACCCAATTGGTCAGGAAGAGCAATCGGTCAAGGCAAGCCAGAATTTAGTGCCTTCAAGCAAAACTGTTACCATCATAGAATCTCCGGACGTTTTTTCATATGTGCACATTTTCTTATCGAAACATAAAGAGAATTTTAGAATGGATTTTTTTTTATAAAACATTCAGATTTTTATAATTTTAAACGCTATTTATAGTGGGTACTCATATCTGAGTAGGCGCTCTGTTTATTTATTAAACAGTTTATTTATTTTCGTCTCCTGGTCTGAATGTTCCAGAAATCTCATTAAAGAGAAATATTTGCACTCTCCGGCAGGATTTAAATGTGCGTCCCTCAGGGCAGAAGAAGCTAGCGTTAAGCTGGGCACGCCTTAGCCGCTCGGATTTGACCAGAATTTTATAATTTATACATATTTGATGAAAAACCAGCTTTCGTAAATACTTCACAATTTTGTATGTACCGATAGGTTGGATTGTGAATTGGGTTTCCTTCACGGGTAGCAGCCATGTTGGGTTTATTTTTATTTTATTTTTTTAGTTTAAGAATTACATTTAGTATGCCTGTTCCTAAATGAAATGAAATTTTATTAGTGTTGAGTTTATTTTTATGGACAAGCCTCCTATTATTTGTAATTCTTTCTTTTTTTTTTTTTTTTTCATTTTAGGTAGTATAGTTTTTTTTCTGTTTTGGTATTGATGATATAGTGATGTAATTGGGACATGATCTGATTAGTAAGTATTATGCGCTCTCACTCTCTTTCTATCTCTCCCTCTCTATATATATGTCTCTGTGTCTGTATATATATATATATATATATATTGTTGATGAAAACATAGTTTAACGGTATAATATATTTATGGATAAAAGTGCTCTATGTCAGGGATAGAGCGCATGTAAATATAAAAGTGGATATTGAAATCAGCACCCAGCAGTGATAATTTGGTTTATTTCAGGGTTAAGTGCAATCGTCAGGCCTGATGATTTTGTCGGCGCTGGCTGTTGACTTTAATGTCCACTTACACACACACACACAAAACATATAGTTTTAATGTATACTATCTTTATGTGTAGAAGTGTCCAATATCATGGATACGGCGTGTGTAAATATAACTGGGTCAAGCCAAATTGTTAGCCGTCTATTTCATAATTGAAGGCAATTTTTAGTCCATGGAGCGGACTATGGGCATTCAGTGTTTACCTCAGTGCTCACACGTCGTTTATATATATATATATATATATATATATATATATATATATATATATATATATATATATATATTGTGACGTAGCCCCGATTTCATTAACCATATAGGCGTAAGGCTAAAAAGCACCCCAAAGTAAAATCTTAAATTCTAGTCGAAAATTAGTTAGATATAAAAGGAAAATAAATAAATAAATATAGAAATTTAATCCAATGCTTTCGACTTACGAGCGAGTATGTTCCATGATCAGCCATACCCTTCTCTTCTCTTCACAAATTCTTTCCCTCTTTATCTACTCTTCCACCCACAAGCCAAGGGCCTGTGTACTTTGAAGTGACCCGACGCGAGAATGGCCTGGTTCCAAAATCCGGCAGCTATCAGGCGGTTGACCATGAGTGAATTCCAGGCACCATCAGGATCTCCTGCTGCGATTCACGTGATCAGAACATACTAAGCGTGTATTGAACTTTTGGCCATCACACAAGCACTGCGTGATTTGTGCCCCATCCTCCTGCGTACCCGGTCAAGGACGAAGCGAACCCACGTGACTGTCTTTGGGGACAGCAAAAATCTAAAAAAGGATTTTCAGTTTTTCTCTGACCAGCGGCAGTTGAAGGTCGCTGGGCAACTCGTCCCACTGAGATGAAGAAGACAGCAAAGCCTGTCGACTAGGGATGAAAGGACTGCTATGAAACTGAATCAACCCAACGAAACGCCTGTACGAGATGCTGTGGACCATCTAACACTTGTGAAAGAAAAGGAATCCAGGAAAATCGCTGGCCGGCCAAAATATTATTGTAGCATAAGAACTCTCGCTTCGGCGAATCAGAACTTTGTGTGAAAATATCAACTCGACTGAAAGATAAGTTGATTCTCTTGGTTTGATCTGTTTTTATATATGTATGTATTCGCTCGCGCCTTCTGTTCTTTAATGATCCCCCTCCCCTTTGTTAAATGAATGTTCTTTTTTTTCTTCTTTCTTTATTTCTTTATATATATTTATAAATAAATGCTTTATTTTGAAATCCATCGTCTTGTGTCTGTTCTTCGTTGACTCCCTTGTGTCGCTTCTATTTCTGAGTGAAGACCTTTTTTTTAAACCCGTGGTTCATCTATATGCTACAAGTTCGTAACAATATATATATATATATATATATATATATATATATATATATATATATATATATATATATGAATAAAAAAAAAGGAAACTTTATTTTTTGTCATATTGCCCTTTACCAGATATACCGGGTGTAACAGCAATTTGTTCAATTGTTAGATTGAGCTCGAACCGTTGTGTGTTAGAAATGATTAAAGGTATATTACTGGAATTCTACTAGATTTTTATAACACTATTGGACTTTACTTTGAGCAATAAGAATGTATAATTACTTTCCAAGCTAACAGAAGAATCGTAATCGTGATGAAATCGATCATAAACGATATATATATATATATAGAGAGAGAGAGAGAGTGAGTGAGTGAGTGAGTGAGTGAGTGATAGATAGATAGATAGAGAGAGAGAGAGAGAGAGAGAGAGAGAGAGAAAGAGGTAGATGTGAAATTTCTCAGAGTTAACCTGTAGAAAAGACAATATTTATAAATGTAAATGACTATAGGAAAACTATAATAGTTGCCGACACGTTTTGTCCAATGTGGACTTTTTCGAAGCAAAAAACGAAATGAATTTAAAGCCTGGGCGTAGATTAATATTTGGATAATATTAAACTGTGGCACCTTGCATTATTAGAAATATTCATAGAAATATGATTTAATTTTTTTTTTTTTTCTCGGTTTATTAAACAGGTTGTTAGTTTTTTTTTAGACGAAGAATAATTGAGTTGAAAATAATTCACTAAGTTGTACTTAGACGATCCTAAAAGAAAAAGAAAAGAAAGAGGAAGAAAAAGAAAAAAAAAAGAAAGAGAGATGGATGATGCATGACCCAGTCATTAGTGAAAACAGGTGTCAGAAAGATATCTTGGCCAACATGTTGGCCGAATTTCGAAAGACAATAGGGATTTGTTATTTAGAAGGGAAAGTCATTTAGAGAGTGGAAGGGACCATGCTTGATAAGAGTGTATTGATAATAAAAATATCGGTCGACGCACATGACCGACTTTTTGTAGAAAAGACTCATTATCAATTTGGAGAAAGGGAAATTTTTAGAACAATGAAACGAAATTTTAATCGGAGGAAAGGTGTCTTTTGGGTTGAGGGGTGACCGGTGGAACTGTATACAGATTCTGACCTGTTAAGGATTGGAACCCCACGATGATGAAGTGGAGACATTTTCAATTCAGATAATTAAGATTTTTGACTATCAGGTCTGACCAAAAACAAAGAGGTGAAAAACGATTGTCTCGGCTCACAGATAGCGCCAATATTCTTTCCTGAAGTCACATCTAATTAGCGGCAGGCTGTTTTGACAGAACCCAGGTGAGAAAAAAGCCAAGATTATCATTTTTCGTACGTGCGAAAAAGGCCAAATTAGATTTTGTTTTTTTAGAACAAGAACGATGTAAGCCACGCCCGATTGGAGACGGGAGGCGTCCCACCACAGTCTCATTAGCCGAAAGCGGTCACGTGATATGCGGAAAGAGGAGGGAGAATGCTCGATCAAGAACCATTGGTCGAAAACGGTCACGTGGCATGCGGAAAGAGGAGGAGGAATGTTCGATCAGGAACCATTGGTCGAAAACGGTCACCTGACATACGGGAGACCGGGAGAGATGGGTATGCGTCTTCCCCCCCCCCCCAGAGGCACTGTGAGGAAGTAGGGGTGAAAATAATAGCGATAATGGGAAATCAGAACTAATGCGACTTTTGGGATTATCGAGAGAGCCCTGACGCCGACAGACCCACCCCGGTTTGCTACGGCGTCAATAAAAGCAGGACCCCAATCGACAAAAATCAGTTCAGCCCCGGACGGCAGCGAGAAGAGACCACCTCGGACGACAGAGAGTTGCGGCTGAGTTGCGGCAAGAAATCCTTCCACCCAAGTCGAAAACAAGAAATCCTTCCAGCCCAAGTCGAAAACAAGAAATCCTTCCAGCCCAAGTCGAAGACAAGAGAAGTTCCATCTAAGTCGACGAAGAAGAAGATTACTCGAAAGCCGCGGAGAAGTTGCAGCCAAGTCGAAGACAAGGCCAAAGAGTTACTGGACGGAAGAAGAAGAAGAAGTTGAAATCAAGCCCAGCCGAGAACAGAATTCGACCCAACCAGATCGAAGTGAAGAAATACAACTCAAGTCGAAGAGAAGAATCAACTGCGAATGATTGACAGAAATTAGCCCCAGTGTCGAACTAGACCACACTCCGACATACATAATTCTGAAGAGTAGGCAATTCAAGAAATCTTTAAGTTGTATGATAGAAGCTTGGTGCCATAGTCCACAGAGCGGGTCGGGAAATAAGAACAATTTTTCTTTGTGTAACGGACATTAGATATAAAAGGTTGTCACCCTTTTTTATCGGTAATTTTTTGTCTCGTAAGTTTTTTTTTTCTTTTACTTGTGTTTTGCCACCCCCGTTGGACTCAACTTGTATCGGCCCCAATCCCTGCTGGTCCCGTCTGTCTAAGATCTAAACACAACGTGGGTAGACAGACCGGAGATCAGTACAGTTGCTTCAGTAACCAGGTATTGGAAGCGAGTTGGGAAAGGCGAGGCTGGTGATCATCTAACCAAGGGGTTGGAGCGGCACGCTTGGAACCAGGAGGAGCGACCAGGAGGAGCGACGTCACAGTTGGCGCCGTAACCAAGGGATTCGACCCTGGGCCAGGTGTGTACCCGTCACAAACTACGCTCAGGCTTTTTCGCTATTTTACCTTTTTTAACAGAATTAGTACTCTCCCAAACAAACGTATACAACATTATCGTGAAATCAAAAGAAAATGATTGAATCTGTCAACAAAGCAATAAAAACAATATCTCCACACGTGACAGTACTTGACGCAATTTTCAGTTCACAGTATGAAAATAGCGTTCTCTAAATTCTTCCAGTTGCTAAGGACATTTTGTTTTGTTATTAGTTATTTTGTTTTATAAATTCATTTCGTTTTTTAACTTGAAAAAGTCCAAATAGGACAAAACGCGTCGGCAACTATTACAGTTTTCCTATTGTCTTTTACATTTATAAATAGATAGATGTGCATGCGTTTGTGACATGAAAGGTCTTATCTTATGAAACCAGATTTGTTACTGCAGTGTGATGGCAGCATTTGTCTGTGAAAACTGTAGAAACGTGAGGCTGGATATGATGACTTCTAACCGGGAAAACAGCTGAAAATTTAACAATCGATTTTCAGATCGATCTTCTAAGCAAAGATCGAAAATTGTGTTTATTGAAATCAATAAATGATCTCTATATCCGGTTTGTATTTGAAACTGCTTTTTGCTTATGATTAGGATTCATTTGCTTACAATTAGAATAAATCATTTATTATCTGAATTATATTTATTAGTCGTTTTTGGTTTGAGTTTACAAAGTTAATTTTAATTCATCATCAATTACACAATTCAGGAAACTGTTCACCGTACAAATTTTAATTTGGACTTGTATCTACATGAAAAAGAAAAAAACATAACGGATAACATAAAGAAAATGTAATTAAAATATTAAAAATATGTCTATTAATAATATTCTAGCCATAAACAACATGTACATCGGCTAAAATGCCTACACCGTACAAATTTTAATCTGGACTTGTATCTACTTAAAAAAAACGTAATAACATATAACATAAAAAAATGTAATTAAAATATTTTAAAAAATATTTCTAGTAATAATATTCTAGCGATAGACAGCACGTACATTGGCTAAAAATGCTAAATAACATTTATTGTTGTAGATCCCGATATAAAATCTACATTGCATACCAAGGTAGAGTGATGACATGTAGATAAGAGGCCAAAGTTGCACCCACACACAGGCATATACGCATTTAGAACCTTTTTTATTTATGTATACTTGTACATATTTATATAAGGCGTTTATCCCTAGCATGCACTATGATTATCCCTTCTCTCGTTTGGTGCTAACTTCGACAACTTTGACAAGTGGTTACTTCGGTACACATCCGCAAGTGGCATGGGATTTGCATATTAAGGATATTTCTTACGCTACCGGCTAGTGGGGTTCGTTTTGTGGCAGACTTTTGGGTGGCTTGTAGCGTAGGCTACGGTTAAAAGTGCAGCGGGGTAATTTTCTGCATACAGATCCCCCCAACGACGTCCCTAAACTCACAACTGAAGGCTATTTAACATCTCGCCGTCCGTCTGACGCTGAGCAAGGATCTTTTGATTCGGTTTGAGTTTGCAGTAATTTGCTGTTGTCGTCTGCTTAAGACATTTTTGCTTTTTACATCTGAATCCACTCTAGCTCCTTTAATTGAAGTGAGGATAAGTTTTATTTCCTTCGATTATATATACTTACACACACACACACACACACACACACACACACACATATATATATATATATATATATATATATATATATATATATGACGTCACACATTATGAAATGGACAAAGTCCGACAATTATTTTAAGACATTATTTTTCAGAAAGGTTTATTGCGTTCATTCTATTGATATCGACATATATATATATATGTAAACGTGGACATTGATGCCAACATCGAAAGCGTTTCCAGCTAAACGCAATCATAAGGTTTAATGATTGCATTTGCATGAAACAGTTTGTCGCCTCTGAATGTTGACTTCAATGTTCACTTTTCTATTTACGTTCGCTCTAACTCTGATATTCTTTTTATTTATCTTAGTAAATGCTCAGTTTTATAATAAACAGTATTAAGCAACATTTACCAGCCTGAATATCCAAGAAATTTTCACAGAAAATATTCGTCCTCTAGACAGGAATCGAACGTGTATCCTATACGGAACCTTCATAGAGCCTGACATGCCTTAACCGATTGGGCCACAGTTCGGTTAGCAAGGTCGATTTGAATGTTTTTAAACATGAATCTCTCACGTACATTTGTATCTGCTCAATGCGTATCCAAATGTAAACAAATGACGTCACATATTATGAAATAGACAAAAGACACAATTATTTTAAGACATCTAAATGTCTTAAAATAATTGTCGGACTTTGTCTATTTCTATATATATATATATATATATATATATATATATATATATATATATATATATATATATATATAGAGAGAGAGAGAGAGAGAGAAGAAAGAGAGATGCAGAGAGAGAAAGACTTGTATATGTATATACAATATGTATATATATATATATATATACATGCTCACGCACACACGCATATATATATAAGACTTGTATGTATGTCTATATATATATATATGTATATATACAAGCACACATACACTCACGTACACATACACGCGCACACACACACACACACACATATGTTGGTTGAAAGTGAGCAAGTGATAGAATATATAAAAAAGAACTTGAGACGAATGTTCTTTGTGTGAAAATGTCGCAATAAAAATGTGATATTTATAAACTGTCTCCGAAGTTCTTTCTATGGAAAAAAAAACTTCTTAGAAATAACTGATTCATTTTAATAAGACCAACTTTCTGTAGAAGTTAGTCGAAAAAACGAGTCTTTTATTTCGTTTATTGATTAATTCGTCTATTGAAAAATGTCTGGATCTCATATATCTTGCATCAAACCCTGGTTGAGATTGTCAAGAAAATTTTCGTTTAAAAAAATCGACCAAAGCGAAATTATTTTTTAGAAAGGTTTATTGCGTTCATTTTTGATGTAGTATTTTTTACACGTCTATTGATATCGACAAACTAACGTCCCAAAACAAGCGTACTGAAACTGACATTTACATGTATTCGAATATGGTAAATATAAGCACACAAACGTATTATATATATATATATATATATATATATATATATATATATATATATATATATATATATGTATGTGTGTGTGTGTGTGTGTGTGTGTGTGTGTGTGTAACGTGGACATTGATGCCAACATCGAAATTAGACAGTGTTTCCAACTAAACGCAATCATAAGGTTTAATGATTGCGTTTGCATGAAACAGCCTATCGCCTCTGAATGTTGACTTCAATGTTCACTTTTCAATTTACATTCGCTCTATCTCTGATATTGTGCACTTTATCCCCAAAAATATAGCATACCTTAAAACTCTCTCTCTCTCTCTCTCTCTCTCTCTCTCTATATATATATATATATATATATATATATATATATATATATATATATATCGAGAAATGAGAAAGCTGAGTTCCAATTCCAGTCGAGTTCGTTACAGTGACTTACGTGAAAATACCTCTGGGTAAGGTTATAATACATCTCTCCTCTGAGATATGCGTAAATGGCAGAAAAGACTGGGTTCTTAGGTGGTAACCGGTCTAGGAGAAAGAAAAACTCTGAATTCAAAACCTGATTTGGTGATATCGAGGCTCACTATGGGTACCAGTTGTCTGTATTCGGCATTTATAAAATGTGTGGTTGGTTTTGTATAAGCCATTCCTACTAAAATCAAAATATATGTGCAAGTAGGCTGACTGTAATCTAGTAATCCAATATATATATATATATATATATATATATATATATATATATATATATATTCGACTCTCCCGTCGAATTCAACGTATGAGGGTTAAACAGATCAGTTCCTAGGAAACCGACAGCCCAACAACAGCACATGCGATTTGATTATAGTGGGGAAGATTTTGTGCAGGACCATCCACACTTTTTGAAGGGCCGAATACAGAGACCAATATGTCTATATTTTAATGTATCAGTTATTAGCTACGTTTTACATCCCTACCCCCTACCAAAACGTAACTAATAACTGATACATCAAAATAGAGACATAATGAACACGCACACACCCCTTGTCCAGTTGAAGTAGATTTATCTGTAACCTTGGAAACGTGAATTATGATTTTAGTTGTGTCTTTAAAACCCAATAATTTTAAAAGTTACTCCAAAATTCGCTTGAGGATGAAATGGAACTAATGTCTTTAATTTAATTACAAAATTAAATTCTGAGCTTTTAGCTTCCATTTTTGAAACATGGTTAGAACTGTGTAGCGGAAAAAACATATTTTAAATCAATTAATTTATAATATATATATATATATATATATATATATATATATATATATATATATATATATATATATTATATATATTGCTTGTTTGTTTGTTTTACGACATATCAAACTCAATTGGTTATTTAACGCCGACAATTTTTTTTTTATTGCTGGCATATATTTTTTTTTCAAAAATCTATTTCTGACAATATTTTTCCTTCAAGAAATGTATAGCTGGTAATGTTTTTTTTTTGTTTTTTTGTTTTTTTTAAATATAAAGCTGTTTGTATTTCTGGTATTTTTTTTTAAAGTATTGTCGATAATAATTTTTCCTTCAAAAATTATTGTTGGTATTTTTTTACAAAGCATTTCTCTTATTAAAACCTATTTTCACACAAGTTTTGGGGTTAACCATTTGCCCATAGCTGGGATCCTGACAGGTGCAAACACCCGGGTTAGGGTGGACCTGGGAGCACCAGCAATTAAGAGGTGGTTGCACGCTCCTCAAAACCTCCTAATCAGAGGCCTTGTTGTTGGATGTAGTTTATCGTTTACCCAGGACGCGGATGTAGTTTAACGTCTTACTCAGGATGCGCATGTAGTTTATCGTCTTACCCAAGACGCTATATACATATATATATATATATATATATATATATATATATATATATATATATATATATATATATATTTAAAAATTGGAATTTATTGATTTTAATTTTATTAGCCTCTAAGACCCTTTCAACCAACATCTCATCAGGAGACAATTGTTGGATAATTAATTAACGAGAAGAACAGTAACGAAAATAAAGAGCAAAAAGGGGGAAATATATATATATATATATATATATATATATATATATATATATATATATATGTATATATATATATATATTTATATCAGTAAAAATATGTTACTTAGTTGATCGATGTTACTTTCATCATCCCGACTCCAGGTTTTCGTAGATGAATCGTCTTGAAATCATTCCGTCTACTCGTCTGAGGGAACAGCAGGTAGCTACTATACTTTTCAATTTTCATTTTATTATGCATTTATTATTGGTGCATCTTTTTTTCGTCATGGCTATTTGTCATGTTCGTCTTCTTTTTCGTCTTACACTGACCCCTTAAATTTTTCTCTTTCTCTCTTTTTCCTCTTTTCTTTTAATTGAAGTCATTTTGACTTCCGGCTTTCTAGACACACACTGTCGTTGTTAATCGTTGAGCGTTCTATACGAGGGTGGACTGAAAGCCGCATATTTGCACGTAAGAGAATACAACTAACCCAACCAAAATTCGAATTCGCCTCTCCGAATTCTTCTTCCGAACCTTTATATATTACACAAGCAGTTCATTCAAGATTACAGTACCTGGTATTCGCTTGCGGTCACCCATCTGGGGACTGTGCAGGTTCAACGTTGCTTAACATTATTGATCGGACGAGAAGTGGTGTTTCAAAGTTATATAGCCGTAAGTGTGTCTATTGATTGGCTGTAACTTTTCTATTAAGAATTTTTGAGGAAAAACAGAGATGATAGATTGGGTGGTTGTTAGCAAAAGGATGAAACCAATACGCGAATTGCAAATTGGAGGTACCAAAATCAAATAGGTACAAAAATTTAAATATCTCGGATGTGTCTTAGCAGGGTTTCGACGTAGACCATTTGGTGTCGCTGGTTCGGCGGCAGAAAAATAACTGGACTATTCCGTTGAGCCGTTCAGGCATTAGCCTGTTTCGACGTCATTGTCTTTGACCGGAGGCAACCCAAACAGTTGTTTTTAATTTTTTTCAAGCTCTATTTTTGCAGCAGATGCTTCATGGGGAGGAGGTTCATTCAACTGGCGAATCACTTTTCCATCCTTCATATGCAATCTCACTTTACATCGATCTTTCCGTTCACATCGCTAAAACTTTAATTCAGGATCCATCTTAATCGTTGCGTCAAAAATAAAAAAAAAAGTATCTATCGTGTATCACTTTGTTTCTTCCACGTTTTGTTAAAATATTTGCTTCCATTTGAGAATAAAAGGACTTTGACGAATGAAAATTATGGAGCTGCACTGAAGGAAATATAATATAAAAAATATAATATAAAACATATAATATAAAACATATAATATATAAAAAATATAATATAAAAAAATATAATATAAAACATATAATATATAAAAAATATAATATAAAAAAATATAATATAGAACATATAATATATAAAAAATATAATATAAAAAATATAATATATAAAAAATATAATATAAAAAAATATAATATAAAAAAATACCTCCAACTGGTCATTTTTTTAAATTTAAAAATATCCTGCAACTATTTCTTTTTCCTAAATATAAAAATGCCTCCAAGTACTCTTTTTCTTAAATTGGACTATTCAAGTATATAACGACGAAGTACTAATTTGACTAATAAACGAGAGAGAGGGAGAGAGAGAGAGAGAGAGAGAGAAAGAGAGAGAGAAGGAGAAAGCGAGAGAGAAAGAGAGAAAGAGAGAGAATTTGACTGTAACAACGAAGTAGCAATCTAAAGCTTAAAAAAAGCCGAAAATTCCTATGTTGAACCGGCTAGGCTGAATCAACCACGCCGAATCAACCACGCCGAATCAACCACGCCAAATGTGCTACGCCGGAACGCTCCATTCCTATTTTATCAGAGGACTGAAAGTGCGACACTGAAATCTGAAAGTGCATTGGGATAGCCAAAGATGCCTTCAAAAGACTAAGCAGACTATTAAGAAATAGAAAAACTTCGCTAGAAACAAGGAAGAGAGTACCGAACCGTTGCGTGATGTCTGTCCTTCTGAATGGCATAAGTGCGGGACAATCTCCTCACAGCTGAAGAAGAGACTTAAAACAACAGAAATATTGTTCTACAGAAGGATGCTGAGGATACAATGGACAGATTATATGAGCATTTAATAAGTTTTAGAGAAAAGAGAAACAAAAGGAAACTTATATTTAACATCAGAAAGAGACAGTTGAAATTTCTAGGGCATTTCAATTTATGATACTAACAGGACAGACTGAAAGCAAGAGGAAAGAGTAATTAGAAAATCTGATACTCACAGGACAGATTAAGCGAAAGAGGTACAGAGGAAAACAATGCATAATGTACTTAGCAAGATTGAATAAATTGATGGCTTAACAGTTTTAGGGAAATCAAAATAAGACGACACTTATTACGAGCTACGAAGGACAGGAAGTTGTGAAGAGCCATGATCGCCTAAGTCCTGAAGGGACACAGAACATAAAGAAGAAGTGTGTATAAGGATGAATTTTTTGTTTGAGGAAGTCTTTCAAGGAATTTGTTGTCAAAGATCCATCGCTAATCGGGCTGGATTTTGAAATTCGGATTATTGAACTAGGGATTAGGCCGAAGAGATTTGCTAAGACAGACTGGAAAAACGGTTTAGCCAGCTGCGTGTGACAGTTGAAGAGTAATCTCACTGAGGCATCATGGAGGTGATTTGGTTGTAACGAGAGATTATTGCATGACGGGTGTTTTGTGTATGATTGTTTGGGGTAGTTTGGTGGAAAAGTGTAAAATAAATAGACAGACACACAAAAGAAAAGCAAAATGATTCAACAACTTCATAAAAAATGAAATAATTTAAAAACAGCTTATAATAACGGTTAGAAGAAGAAGAAGAAGAAGAAGAAGAAAGAGGAGGAGGAGGGGGAGGGGAGGGGGAGAAGAAGATGGAGAAGAAGGAGGAGGAGAAGAAAAAGAAGATGAAGAAGGAGGAGGCGAAGATGAAGAAGGAGAAAAAGAAAGAATAGAAGAAGAAGAAGACGAAGAAGAAGACGAAGAATAAGAATAATAATAATAATAATAAGGATGATGAAGATAATAATAATAATAATAATAATAATAATAATAATAATGAAATCGAAATCTCAAAAATGTGGCACATGGGCGCATCAACAATCCCTGTTGTAGTTGGAGCCTTCAGATTATTTGGAAAAGATTCCAGTAGACTCATCAAATGGATTCCTGGAAGCCCAAGCCTTAAGAAAATCACAAAAATTCTTCTCACGAGTACAACCCACACCTTACGAAGGGTTTTATCTATGTAAAACATGTGTGTGTGTGTGTGTGTGTGTGTGTGTGTGTGTGTGTGTGTGTGTGTGTGTGTGTGTGTGTGTGTGTGTGTGTGTGTTTGTTTTTTTATTAATTGGTCAGTGGAAAATGTCATGATGTCATTTCTAACCTTAGGTCTCTGGACAGGACCCGGAAAGAAATGTGTAAACAACAGAAATCAAAGGAAATAAAAACAATTATAATAAGGACAGAAGCAAATATATATATATATATATATATATAATTATTTATTTAAAAAAATGATTCCAACGCTACTTTATGTTTTGGAATCATATTTTAAATAAATAATTTATTTATGCTTACTTTTGTATCGAGCACTATTTTTTAAAAATAATAACAAAATGCTAAAGAACTTTGGATTATTTATCTAACGAGTTTTTCCTTTTTCTATATATTTTACACACACACACACACACACACACACACACACACACACACACACACACACACACACACACACATATATATATATATATATATATATATATATATATATATGCACATTTCATTGAAAAAAACGACAGACAACGTGCTTTTTTATTTAGTTTTTTTTATACAAATTCTCATGCGATCTAATAATTCTTTTTCTTCTCGGATGACAAATTATATAAAAACTGTCCGAATGTTCTTTTTGTTCGAGTGCTTTCGGCTATACATTTAGCCTATTTCAAGGATTACATATTTTAATTGATAAATAAGAAATAGTTTGTTGTATGTATGTTTTCATTTTTCAAAAGACGGTCAAGATATTGTGTCCATGTTCAAATGAAAATGTCTAAATGTATAGCGAAAGAAGTGACTGAGAGAACTCGATTCAATTTACCGCGCATCCCAGCATCCGGATTTTCCTTAAAAGAAAGAGCCTTGCTAAACCATTAAGCTTTCCCTGGACGAATGCAAGAGGACAAAGTATCAAAAAAGGTGAATTCTTTTACAATGAGGATGTCAAGAGAGTCTCCCTGTCGGTGAGCACTTTTTATTACGATTTTTCGAATGCACCGATACAAAGTTTAAACACAAATAAAAATGGGTTATCTATCCAAAATAGTGGTATCCCCTATGATAATTTTCTTCTCCCTCAAGCTATGGGTAAATAGCAGGACAGACTAGGTTCTATAGCCTTGGATGGCAACTGGTCTAGGAGAAGGACAACTCTGAATTCAAAACCTGCGGAGGGTCGTTTGGGGAACTTGTGGCACGTAGTGCACCAGGTCTCTGTATTCGGCCCTTCAAAAAGTGTGAATGGTCCTGCACGAAATCAAATCTCATGTGCTGTTGTCGGGCTGTCGGTTTCCTAGGAACTGATCTGTTTGACCCTCATACGTCGAATTCGACGGGAGAGTCATTATATATATATATATATATATATATTTTGCTATAAATGGACATTGTTCGTCATTTTTTTAAAATGCATTTTTATGTTTTTACATTCTTTTTTATTTGATAAAATATTTAAGTAAAATGCTCTGTTTATAATAAACAGTATTAAATGTAACATTTACCGGCCTCAATGTCCTAGAAATTTTCACAGAGCATTTACTTAAATTGCATTGTTCGTAGTATCTATAAAAAAATGAATGGATAAACATAAAATGTTGGTCATTAAAATAATTGTCGGACTTTGTCCATTTCTGCTGTGACGTCATGTGTTTACATTTGATACGCCTATGAGCAGATATGAATGTACGTCACAGAATCATGGAAGATTGGAGTTTTTTAGACAGTAAAATCGACCTTGCTAACCGAACGCTCCTCTGTGGCTGAATCGGTTAAAGCACGTCAAGCTAAATGACGGTTCCGTATAGGATATAAAACTACAATGTATATATATATATATATATATATATATACGTGTATAAATGGAGCGAACTTAAATTAGAAATAATAAATCATTTTCATTGAAAAATTAAAATAAGCAATTTCAAATTTATACATAATGATAGGAAAAATTCCTCCTTGATCGCTTTATCCTTATTTTACAAATCTTTTGGTATGTTGTCCAGCGCTATAATAAAAAATGTTCTTATGTTATTAACTGTCTCCGATTCAAGGAATTCAATATGGCGTGAAATAACGGATAAACTCATCCAAAATATCGATCTTTCGTTTAAAGCTTCCTTCTTTCCTCATTAGATTTGATCGATTTCCATATTTCTTCAACCCCATCTTTTTCATGGATAACGGCGACCTCTCGATTCGAATATCAATAGAGATTCTTTGACTATAATCAGCCGTGTTTTTGCTGACAAAGCCGAGAGCTTTGTCGGCTGCCTCCTTCAATTTTTTTGAAAGGCAGCAAATCAAAACTGAAAAAAAATGTTAAAATCAATTGCACGATCTCATTTGTGATGGAAAATATTACTGACAGAATTAATGCACGCATTTTTGCTACTTTATTTGTTTTTAAAAGGTTCTATCAAGAGAAATGGCCTGACAGGATAGTTAGTTCCTCAGACGTCGATTTATAGATTTTTTTTTTGTTTTCCCGCGCTCAATTGTCACTAAAAATGAACTTCAAGTGGTGAAGAAAAATATTATTTATACAGTGGTCGCCTATTGGGTGGAATCCTTCATTTTGAAGAGAAAACGGGAATCTGTGTGTATACGCGTGTGGCTTTTAGAATTTAGGCGAGAGGAAGAAATTAATGGACTAGAAAGATCGATGTTTTTACTGTTGCTTGTTGGAAATTAAAGATGATGTTAATATGAGAAATAGTAATAACAAATTGGAAATTATAAGAACAATACTATTAACGTATATTGTTAAGGGGAGATAACCTGAACAGAAAGAACCTTTAAAGAACGTAAATTGATGGGGCTAATTAATATTCTATCTATCTATTTTTTCTCTCTTCTTTTTTTTCTTTTTTCCTTCTTGATTTTCTCCTTCTCGCTTTATATATATATATATATATATATATATATATAGCCTTAAACAAAACGTACGTCATATCTAAGGTACCTTTCGGCCAACGCTTTTTCAAAGATATTCGTTGGCCATATTAGATATAAATGAATACAAAGACACACTTAATGAAGTAAATGAGGAGGGAAAGGTGGAACTCGACTAAAAGACAAATTTTAATTATATAAATTAAAATTGAACAAGAGGGGGATGTAAATAAACATTTCTACAAGAGTATAAAATAGAAAAAGAGGGGAACTCACAGACGCTCCAATAGACGTAAGGAACGTAAAAAGTGTTCTTTCTGTCTGCACAGACTGGGTTGCTGACACTTAATATAGACGGCTTTAGAAACTCGAAGATGGTGTGTTGATCGAGCGCTCTGTAAAACCGCAGACCACGTGTCTTCGTACTCAGCTCGACAAGCATGATTTTCCAGCAAATGTTGACCAATTGCAGTCCAAATGGACTGACTGAGTTGTTCTTCTTATAAGCTGACTGGGACTCTGCCTGAACTCACAAAAGCAGGAACATGCTGCGCCACCCGCGTCTCCAACCTTAGATTCGTACATCCTATGTATACCGCGTCACAACGGCATTTAAATTTATAAACAACTAAATTTTCATGAAAAAATATATATTCATTGATGCATGTTTCATTAAATAATATAGACAAGTTTTGTCTATTTATTTTAAGTAAGTTCCTTTCATATTGTCTGATAAGCTTAATAACATTATCATTGAAGGACGAAAGGAAATTACCATATTGATACATGTTTAAATCAAACCTAAGCTTTCGGCTTACGAAACCTAACCTGAACAAAATAAACTCCGAAATCTTCACAAACATTCTTAAATGCCTATAATTGATAACAGAAGCCATTGGTTTATACCAACGGCTTCCCATACGTAATACTTCTCGTTTTCACTCTCGCGTGGTCATATGTGACGTCACGAGCTACGACGCGATTTTCGCTTCCGTATCTCGTATACACTAGTTAGTCGTTACTTTGAAATTTTTCATGCAAGAAAAACATTATTGTTCCGTGTATTGGTTGATATATTGTCATCTTTGATAATGGCTTATGTAAACCGAAAGCCGAATTAATGAGACAGAAGGAGGAGGCAATAGCAGGAGAGCAGACCTGCGAGAGGAGGGAGTGGAGAGCAGACAAAATTAAACAAAGGATGTAGCTAATGCAAGAAGAGCTGCTATGAGAGAATGTGAAGCTGAAAAGACTGAAAATGCAACAGGAAGAATTTAACGCAAGAAGAGAAAATCTGAGAATGCGAATGGAAGAAAGTCTTTGAGAAGAAACTCAAGCACAACGCAACAGAATGAAGAATGAAAATATTGGCGCCACTGAGAAATGCAATAAATACAGAAAACAGAGTTCATTAAGTAAATAATCTTCTGTTCACTGAAACCAATTATCAACAACCTAACAGCGGTGGATAAAAAAATAAGACGCCATTTTTGACGGTATGTTCACACGAGACAATATAATAAATGATTATGTTACAAGCTGGCTGAGAAAACTATAATTAATCATTGTCGGTTAGTAATGACCTTCCGTACTCTTTTAACCCGCTTGGTACCAAATAAACACTGTTACATGCACAGTATAAATATTTGCAGCCATGTTTATCTGTCATTCGTGTCCCTATAGACCTTTCTACACGGTGAAACCGTATTCTAAAGTGTTGTATTTATTGTCGTTCCTTTTTCCAGGTGGTCATTGTCTGTTCCTTTGATCTGCCTATTTCCCTTTCACCTACTTTCCAATTTTTTTCTGGATTGACGGGAAAACGCAGAACCGAAAAGAAAAAGGCAGAAAAGTTTTTCGGTGAGAATTAGTAGAGACGAAATGGTCTGATGAAGGGAAGAAAGAGTAAAAAAAACAAGAGAAAAGAAAATGAACTATTTTTGAAGTTGGAGAAATGGAAGGGGGAAAAAAAAAAAAAAAAAAGAAAAAAAGAAAAAATGAAAAGAGAAGAAAATAAATGAAAAAGAATAAAAAAAAGAAAAAGAAATGAAAGCAGAAAGAAAAAGAAAGAAAGAAAGAAAGAAGGAAGAAACAAAAAGAAAGAAATGGAGAAAAAAGAAAGAAAAAAAAGAAAGAGAAAAGAATTGAAGAAAGAAAGAAAAAAAAGAAGAAAGAAAGAAAGAAAATGAAGAAAGAAGGAAGAAACAAAAAAAGAAATGGAGAAAAAAGAAAAAAAAATGAAAAAGAGAAAGAAATGAAGAAAGAAAGAAAGAAAAGAAAATGAAAAAGAAAAGAAAAAAAAAAAAAGAAAGAGAGAAAAAAAAGTGAAGAAAGAAAAGAAAGAAATGAAGAAAGAAAAGAAAAAGAAATGAAGAAAGAAGGAAGAAAAAAGAAAAATGAAATGGAAGAAAAAAAAGAAAGAAAAAAAGAAAGAGAAGAAAAGAAAAATGAAGAAAGAAAGAAAGAAAAATGAAAAAAAAAAAAGAAAAAAAAGAAAGAAGAGAAAGAAATGAAGAAAGAAAAGAAAGAAAAATGAAGAAAGAAGGAAGAAACAAAAAAAAGAAATGGAGAAAAAAAAAAAAAAAGAAAAAGAGAAAGAAAAATGAAGAAAGAAAAAGAAAGAAAAATGAAGAAAGAAAGAAAAAAAAAAGAAAGAAGGAAGAAAACAAAGAAAATGAAATGGAGAAAAAAAAAGAAATGAAGAAAAGAAAGAAAGAAAGAAATGAAAAAAAAAAGAAAAAAGAGAAAGAAAAAAAAATGAAGAAAGAAAAATGAAAAGAAATGAAGAAGAAAGAAGGAAGAAACAAAGAAAGAAAATGGAGAAAAAAAGAAAGAAAAAGAAAGAGAAAAAGAAATGAAGAAAGAAAGAAAGAAAAATGAAGAAAGAAAGAAAAGAAAAGAAAAAAGAAGGAAGAAACAAAAGAAAGAAATGGAAGAAAAAAAAAAAGAAAATGAAAGAGAGAAAAAGAAATGAAGAAAGAAAAGAAAAAAAAGAAATGAAAAAAAAAAGAAAAAAAAAAAGAGAGAAAGAAATGAAGAAAGAAAAGAAGAAATGAAGAAAGAAGGAAGAAAAAAAAAAAAGAAATGGAGAAAAAGAAAAAAAAATGAAAGAAAGAGAAAAGAAAATGAAGAAAGAAAGAAAAAAAAGAAAAAAGGAAGAAAGAAAAAAGAAAGAAGGAAGAAACAAAAGAAAAAATGGAAAGAAAAAGAAAGAAAAATGAAAGAGAGAAAAGAAAATGAAGAAAGAAAAGAAAGAAAGAAAAAAAGAAATGAAAAAAGAAAAAAAGAAAGAGAAAAGAAAAAGAAAAAGAAAATGAAGAAAGAAATGAAGAAAAGAAAAGAAAGAAATGAAGAAAGAAGAAAAAAGAAAAAGAAAGAAAAGAAAAAAAGAAAGAAAAAAAGAAAGAGAAAGAAAGAAATGAAAAAAATGAAGAAAGAAAGAAAGAAAGAAAAAAAAAAAAAAAAAAGAAAAAGAAAGAAAAAGAAGAAAGAAAAAAGAAAGAAAAAAAGAAAAAAAAGAAGAAAGAAAGAGTGAAGAAAAAGAAAAAAGAAGAAAGAGAGAAAGAAAAGAAGAAAGAAAGAAAAGAAAGAAGGAAGAAAGAAAAAAAGAAATGAAGAGAAAAAGAAAAGAAAAAAGAAAGAGAAGAAAAGAAAATGAAGAAAGAAAAATGAAAAAAGAAAAGAAAAAGAAAAGAGAAAGAAATGAAGAAAGAAAGAAAAAATGAAGAAAGAAGAAAGAAAAAAAGAAAGAAATGGAGAAAAAGAAAGAAAAAAAAAGAGAGAAAGAAATGAAGAAAGAAAGAAAGAAATGAAAAAAGAAAGAAAAAAGAAAATGAAGAAAGAAGTGAAGAAAAGAAAGAAAGAAAGAAGGAAGAAACAAAAGAAAGAAATGGAAAAAAGAAAAGAAAAAAAAAAAGAGGGAAAAAAAGAAGAAAGAAAGAAAGAAAGAAAGAAAAAAAAAAAAGAAAGAAAAAAGAAAGAGAGAAAGAAATGAAGAAAGAAAGAAAAAGAAAATGAAGAAAGAAGGAAGAAACAAAGAAAGAAATGGAGAAAAGAAAGAAAAAAATGAAAGAGAGAAAGAAATGAAGAAATAAAGAAAGAAATGAAGAAAGAAAAAATGAAGAAAGAAGGAAGAAACAAAGAAAGAAATGGAGAAAAAAAAAAGAAAAATGAAAGAGAGAAAGAAAAAAAGAAAAGAAAGAAAGAAAAAGAAAGAAAGAAAAAAAAAAAAAAAGAAAGAAAAAAAAAGAGAGAAAGAAGTGAAGAAAGAAAGAAAGAAATGAAGAAAGAAAGAAAGAAATGAAGAAAGAAGGAAGAAACAAAGAAAGAAATGGAGAAAAAAGAAAGAAAAATGAAAGAGAGAAAGAAATGAAGAAAGAAAGAAAGAAAGAAATGAAAAAAAGAAAGAAAAAAGAAAGAGAGAAAGAAATGAAGAAAGAAAGAAAGAAATGAAGAAAGAAGGAAGAAACAAAGAAAGAAATGGAGAAAAAAGAAAGAAAAATGAAAGAGAGAAAGAAATGAAGAAAGAAAGAAAGAAATGAAGAAAGAAAGAAAGAAATGAAGAAAGAAGGAAGAAACAAAGAAAGAAATGGAGAAAAAAGAAAGAAATGAAGAAAGAAAGAAAGAAAGAAATGAAAAAAAGAAAGAAAAAAGAAAGAGAGAAAGAAATGAAGAAAGAAAGAAAGAAATGAAGAAAGAAGGAAGAAACAAAGAAAGAAATGGAGAAAAAAGAAAGAAAAATGAAAGAGAGAAAGAAATGAAGAAAGAAAGAAAGAAATGAAGAAAGAAAGAAAGAAATGAAGAAAGAAGGAAGAAACAAAGAAAGAAATGGAGAAAAAAGAAAGAAAAATGAAAGAGAGAAAGAAATGAAGAAAGAAAGAAAGAAAGAAAGAAATGAAAAAAGAAAAAAAAGAAAGAGAGAAAGAAATGAAGAAAGAAAGAAAGAAATGAAGAAAGAAATGAAGAAAGAAGGAAGAAACAAAGAAAGAAATGGAGAAAAAAGAAAGAAAAATGAAAGAGAGAAAGAAATGAAGAAAGAAAGAAAGAAAGAAAGAAAGAAATGAAAAAAGAAAGAAAAAGAAAGAGAGAAAGAAGTGAAGAAAGAAAGAAAGAAAGAAGGAAGAAAGAAAGAAAAAAATGGAGAAAAAAGAAAGAAAAATGAAAGAGAGAAAGAAATGAAGAAAGAAAGAAATGAAAAAAAGAAAGAAAAAAGAAAGAGAGAAAGAAATGAAGAAAGAAAGAAAGAAATGAAGAAAGAAGAAAGAAACAAAGAAAGAAATGGAGAAAAAAGAAAGAAAAAAGAAAAAGAGAAAGAAATGAAGAAAGAAAGAAAGAAATGAAAAAAAAAAGAAAAAGAAAGAGAGAAAGAAGTGAAGAAAGAAAGAAAGAAAGAAGGAAGAAACAAAGAAAGAAATGGAGAAAAAGAAAGAAAAATGAAAGAGGGAAAGAAATGAAGAAAGAAAGAAAGAAAGAAATGAAAAAAAGAAAGAAAAAAGAAAGAGAGAAAGAAATGAAGAAAGAAAGAAATAAATGAAGAAAGAAGGAAGAAACAAAGAAAGAAATGGAGAAAAAAGAAAGAAAAATGAAAGAGAGAAAGAAATGAAGAAATAAAGAAAGAAATGAAGAAAGAAAGAAAGAAATGAAGAAAGAAGGAAGAAACAAAGAAAGAAATGGAGAAAAAAGAAAGAAAAATGAAAGAGAGAAAGAAATGAAGAAAGAAAGAAAGAAAGAAAGAAAGAAATGAAAAAAGAAAAAAAAAGAAAGAGAGAAAGAAATGAAGAAAGAAAGAAAGAAAGAAACAAACAAACAAATAAAAACAAATAAACAAATGAAAATGAAAGACAGAAAAATGAAGAAAGCAAGAGAGAAATGAAGAAAGAAAGAAAGGAATGAAGAAAGAAAGAAAGAAAGAAAGGAATGAAGAAAGAAAGAAAGGAATGAAGAAAGAAAGAAAGAAAGGAATGAAGAAAGATAAAAAGAAAGAAAAAGAAAGCGAGAAATAAATGAAGAAAGAAAGAAAGAAAGAAACAAAGGAAAAAGAAAGATAGAAAGAAAAAAATGAAGAAAGAAATGAAAACATGAAAAGAAAGAAAAAATGAAGAAAGATGAAAAGAAACAAAAAAGAAAGAAAGAACAAAATAAAAAGAAAGAAGAGAAAAGGAGCAGACAAAGGAGTGCAAATTGCACCAGAGAGAAGGATTGGTTCTCGCACCGAAGCCAGCATAACCGACGGTTGCGGGCGCTCGGAGAAATTTTTTCCCTAGCCAGGGTGTACACGCTCGGACTCCCCATATTAAACCGAACTTGTGTCACAACCTGACGTCGTGGAGCTTGAGTAAATACAAAAAAAAAAAAAAAAAAAAAGAAAAAAAAATAAGATAGGACAGTAGGGAAAGAGAAAAATAGGGAAAAGAGGAAGACAGGGTAAAAATTAGATAAGCCTTTGTAAAATAGGAGTGAAGAAATGAAAAAAATGTTAAGAGAAGAAAGAAAAAGAGAAAAAATTCAGGTGAAATAAGAATAAGGAAAGAATGAGACAGAAATGAGCTGAAAAATGAATGAAAGAAAAAATGAAATAAATAAATAAGATAGAAAAAGATAGAAAAAAGAGGGGGTCATCAAAATGAAAGGAAGAAAGAAATTAAGATTACAAAAATGAAATAAAACGATAAGAATAGGAAAAAGAAAGCCAGAATGAAAGAACTAATGAAAGAAAATGAGCAAATGAAAATTTAAGAAGAAGAATAAAGAAAAAGAAAGAGAGCAACAAGCATGAATGATGAAAAAGAAATGACCGTAACAAAAGAAGAAAAACAACAATTGATAAAAAAAGAAGGAAGGAAAGAAGAAATAAACATGACATTAGAGTAAAAAGAGCAAGGGAAAAAGAAAGAAACAAACAAACAAAGAAAAAAGAAGGAAAGAAGGAAGGAAGGAGGAAAGGAAAGAAGGAAGGAATAAATAAACATGACAGTAGATTAAAAAGAACAATGGTAAGAGAAAGGAAGAAAGAAAGAAAAAGAAAGACAGAAAGAAACAAGTGAATGAATGAATAAAAGATGAATGGAAGGAAGGAAGGAAGGAAGGAAGGAAGGAAGGAACATGACAGCAGAATAAAAAAATGAATGAATGAATGAAAGAAGAAAGGAAGAATAAACATGAGAGTAGAATAATAAGAACAATTGAAAGATAAAGAAAGAAATAAATAAAGAAAGAAAGAAAGAAACGAATGAAGGAAAGAAACGAATGAAGGAAGAAATAAACATGACAATAGAATAAAAAGAATAATGAAATTGAAAAAGAAAGAAAGAAAGAAACGAATGAATGCATGAATGAATGAAGGAAGGAAGGAAGAAAAGAAGGAAGGAAGAAGTAGACATGACAGTAGAATAAAAAGAACAATGGAAAGAGAAAGAAAGATAATGAGAAAGAAAGAAAGAAAATAAGAGAGAAAGAAAAAAAGAAATGAAACGAAAATGAAACATGACAATTGAATAAAAAGAACAATGGAAAGAGAAAGAACTAAAGATAATGAGAAAGAAAGAAAGAAAGAAAGAAAGAAAGAAAAAAGAAAGAAATGAAACGAAAAGGCAACATGACAGTTGAATAAAAAGAACAATGGAAAGAGAAAGAAAGAAAGAAAGAAAGATAATGAGAAAGAAAGAAAGAAAGAAAAAGAAAGAAAGAAATGAAACAAAAAGGAAACATGACAGTTGAATAAAAAGAGCAATGAAAAGAGAAAGAAAGAAAGATAATGAAAAGAAAGAAAGAAAGAAAGAAAGGAAGGAAGGAAGAAAGAAAGAAAAAAGAAAGAAAGAAAGAAAGAAAGAAAGAAAAAAGTAAAAAAGAAAGAAATGAAACGAAAAGGAACCATGACAGTTGAATAAAAAGAACAATGGAAAGAGAAATAAAGAAAGAAAGAAAGAAAGAAAGAAAGAAAAAAGAAAGAAATGAAACGAAAAGGCAATATGACAGTTGAATAAAAAGAACAATGGAAAGAGAAAGAAAGAAAGAAAGAAAGAAAAAAGAAAGAAATGAAACGAAAAGGCAACATGACAGTTGAATAAAAAGAACAATGGAAAGAGAAAGAAAGAAAGAAAGAAAGAAAGAAAGAAAAAAGAAAGAAATGAAACGAAAAGGCAACATGACAGTTGAATAAAAAGAACAATGGAAAGAGAAAGAAAGAAAGATAATGAGAAAGAAAGAAAGAAAGAAAAAGAAAGAAAGAAAGAAATGAAACAAAAAGGAAACATGACAGTTGAATAAAAAGAGCAATGAAAAGAGAAAGAAAGAAAGATAATGAAAAGAAAGAAAGAAAGAAAGAAAGAAAGGAAGGAAGGAAGAAAGAAAGAAAAAAGAAAGAAAGAAAGAAAGAAAGAAAAAAGTATAAAAGAAAGAAATGAAACGAAAAGGAACCATGACAGTTGAATAAAAAGAACAATGGAAAGAGAAAGAAAGAAAGAAAGAAAGAAAGAAAGAAAGAAAGAAAAAAGAAAGAAATGAAACGAAAAGGCAACATGAGAGTTGAATAAAAAGAACAATGGAAAGAGAAAGAAAAGAAAAGAAAAAGAAAGATAATGAGAAAGAAAAAAAAGAAAGAAAAAAGAAAGAAAGAAATGAAACAAAAGGAAACATGACAGTTGAATAAAAAGAGCAATGAAACGAGAAAAGAAAGAAAGATAATGAAAAGAAAGAAAGAAAGAAAGAAAAGAAAGGAAGGAAGGAAGAAAGAAAAAAAAAAAAAAGAAAGAAAAAAAGAAAAAAGTAAAAAAGAAAGAAATGAAACGAAAAGGAACCATGACAGTTGAATAAAAAGAACAATGGAAAGAGAAAGAAAGAAAGAAAGAAAGAAAGAAAGAAAAAAGAAAGAAATGAAACGAAAAGGCAACATGACAGTTGAATAAAAAGAACAATGGAAAGAGAAAGAAAGAAAGAAAGAAAGAAAGAAAAAAGAAAGAAATGAAACGAAAAGGCAACATGACAGTTGAATAAAAAAGAACAATGGAAAGAGAAAGAAAGAAAGAAAGAAAAAAAGAAAAAAAAAAGAAATGAAACGAAAAGGCAACATGACAGTTGAATAAAAAGAACAATGGAAAGAGAAAAAGAAAGAAAGAAAGAAAGAAAGAAAGAAAGAAAAAGAAAGAAATGAAACGAAAAGGCAACATGACAGTTGAATAAAAAGAACAATGGAAAGAGAAAAAGAAAGAAAAGAAAGAAAGAAAGAAAGAAAAAAAGAAAGAAATGAAACGAAAAAGGCAACATGACAGTTGAATAAAAAGAACAATGGAAAGAGAAAGAAAGAAAGAAAGAAAGAAAGAAAAGAAAAAAGAAAGAAATGAAACGAAAAGGCAAATGACAGTTGAATAAAAAAGAACAATGGAAAGAGAAAGAAAGAAAGAAAGAAAGATAATGAGAAAGAAAGAAAAAAAAAAAAGAAAGAAATAAATGAAACAAAAAGGAAACATGACAGTTGAATAAAAAGAGCAATGAAAAAAAAGAAAGAAAAAAGATAATGAAAAGAAAGAAAGAAAGAAAAGAAAGAAAGGAAGGAAGAAAGAAAAGAAAGAAAAAAAGAAAGAAAGAAAGAAAGAAAGAAAAAGTAAAAAGAAAGAAATGAAACGAAAAGGAACCATGACAGTTGAATAAAAAAGAACAATGGAAAGAGAAAGAAAAGAAAGAAAGAAAGAAAGAAAGAAAGAAAGAAAAAAAAAAAGAAATGAAACGAAAAGGCAACATGAGAGTTGAATAAAAAGAACAATGGAAAGAGAAAGAAAGAAAGAAAGAAAAAAAAAAAAAAGAAAGAAATGAAACGAAAAGGCAAATATGACAGTTGAATAAAAAGAACAATGGAAAGAGAAAGAAAGAAAGAAAGAAAGAAAGAAAGAAAAAAGAAAGAAATGAAACGAAAAGGCAACATGACAGTTGAATAAAAAGAACAATGGAAAGAGAAAGAAAGAAAGAAAGAAAGAAAGAAAGAAAGAAAGAAAGAAAAAAGAAAGAAATGAAACGAAAAGGCAACATGACAGTTGAATAAAAAGAACAATGGAAAGAGAAAGAAAGAAAGAAAGAAAGAAAGAAAGAAAAGAAAGAAATGAAACGAAAAGGCAACATGACAGTTGAATAAAAAGAACAATGGAAAGAGAAAGAAAGAAAGAAAGAAAGAAAGAAAGAAAGAAAAAAGAAAGAAATGAAACGAAAAGGCAACATGACAGTTGAATAAAAAGAACAATGGAAAGAGAAAGAAAGAAAGAAAGAAAGAAAGATAATGAGAAAGAAAGAAAAAAAGAAAAAGAAAGAAAGAAATGAAACAAAAAGGAAACATGACAGTTGAATAAAAAGAGCAATGAAAAGAGAAAGAAAGAAAGATAATGAAAAGAAAGAAAGAAAGAAAGAAAGAAAGGAAGGAAGAAAGAAAGAAAGAAAAAAGAAAGAAAGAAAGAAAGAAAGAAAAAAGTAAAAAAGAAAGAAATGAAACGAAAAGGAACCATGACAGTTGAATAAAAAGAACAATGGAAAGAGAAAGAAAGAAAGAAAGAAAGAAAGATAACGAGAAAGAACGAGAGAAAGAAAGAAAGAAAGAAAGAATCAGAATAGAAATACCAAGATTATGAAGTTAAGCAAATCAACTTTTGAATACGCACTTTATCAACCTTCATGAGAAAATAAATATATTTCCTTCGTCATCGTTAGACTTTCTCTTTCTGCATTGCAACCACTTTATGCCCATCAGCCCATCGACATTTTGACCCTTCGTCCGCCTAAACAAACCCACAAAACTGACCCAACAAAAACATTTCCATCACCCCACTTACGAAAAAGACGTGACCAAAACTTCATCTTTCTTTCATCATTCCTTCTTGACTGGCCACCGCAGATTCCCTCCCTCCAAACAATCCTAATATAAACTCTGCTCTGTTGGCGTGAGAAAATTCTGACCACGTACACTGCCCGCCGGCCGCAATGTTATGTCCACAATTGTCCAGCTCTTCCCTAGCACTTGGACCGTGTTCCAAGTGGTCAGTTTAGATTGATATCCCCAATGGACGAACGTGTCTTTGGTTGTCCATTTATTTACTTTCCACTCACATCTCCTCCTATTCATAACCCATCTGCAATTTACTACACAATTTGTTTTGCTGGGAAGAGGAAAACCTCGTCTTCTTTCGCCGTCTAACTGTTCCTCGTTAACCTCCTCTGTTTCAGATGTCCACCACCGCGTCCCCACTTCCTTCATCTATCACTGTCTTATAGTCTGAAACTGTTTTCACCCCCTGATTGACCACTGGTCAAAGAGGTTCGCAATTTCCGTTTGTACAACTGAATGGAGCTATATGAATAACAGTCACGTTTGAGAAAAGAATATCTGGAGCCGAATTCTAACTTTGCCTTTGCATAACTCACTGAGTAATTCTTTATTGGCGTAATTATATAACGTAGCAACAATTAGCACAATAGTTTACGATTAAAACCAACATGGGCATTTCGATATGGCGTAATGATTAGCAAGCTTGTCTCGCTAGGTCACTTACGACTGAATAGTGAGTTTGATTCTCACTCGGTGTCCCATACTTTCGGTCTGGTGCCACATCTAAGCTACGCTTAGAAAATCATTTGGGCATTTGGTAGTGTAATGGTTAGCAAGCTAGTCTTGCTAGAAATATTACGACTGAGTAGTAAGTTCGATCTTCACTGGGTGCCTCATACTTTCGGCCTTGTGCCACATCTGAGCTACGCTTGGAAAATCACTATCATTAAAAGCAACAATTTTCTATTTCCCTTGTCTCTCTCTCTCTCTCTCAAAAAATATATATATATATATATATATATATATATATATATATATATATATATATATATATATATATGCAGCAATACGTCTTTCATGCACATTCCATTGAAAAACGACAGACAAGGTTTATTTAGATTTTTATACAATTTTTAAAATTTATTTTTTTATACAATTTTTTTTCTTTTTGCATGATAAATTATATAAAAACTGTCCGAATGTTTTTTTTATCCGAGCGCTTTCGGCTATACATTTATCCATTTTTAAGGATTATATTTTAACTGTTAAAATAAAAAAAAATTTTGTATGTATGTTTTATAAAATATTCTTATTTTTTTTTCAAAACACGGTCAAGGTATTATGTCCATGTTCAAAGTTAATATTATTAAGTGTTGGTTTGTTTGTTTTTATTAATTATATTTTTCCATTACTTTTAACCTGTTCTTTGCGTGTAGATGATGCTATTATATTAGCGTTGTCAACAAGTATGTTACGAATAGTGTCCGGTAGGTCTCCATGAATATTTAAATGAGATCTAATTGAGCTATGATCAGAAAGGTGTAGAGTGAGTCTGCGTGTCAAACATGTAGTAGTGTGGCCTATATAATTATTTACGAATTTTGATTGATCAGGAATACAATTCCTTAATGGGCATTTAATATATATATATTTTTTTCTCTCACTCCCCCATATATATATATATATATATATATATATATATATATATATAAAAAAATATAGGTTAGAAAGATTCTGTACAAAAACTTGTTGTATAGACGAAAATGAGAATTGGAAAAAAGGCACCTAATATTTAATATAGTAATATTTATAATATATGAATTTTTACAGTGAAGAATTAAAACTTTGTTATTTGCAATTGGATTTTCAGTCGGTTTTTTTTTTTTAGAAAAATAATTTGTTGTTTTCCTTTTTTAAAACTCTTTTACTTTAACCGGTTTCGCTTAGCGTTTCAAAAAGTTTTAACTGTTTCTATCTCCACGTGTTGATGCTTATGTTTTGTACCAATGAAAAAAAAATGAAAATGTAGGGACGTAACTGCCTATATATGTCGCTTATGTTAAGGGGAATTTGATAGAATCTATTTATGCAATGAATTAATTATGGGTTTGAACTTGTTGATGAAATTTTTTTTTCCTTATTAATTCTCCTTTGTTCAGTGGTTCTGTAGTCGCATTGGTAGAATGGGATGACACTGAAATTTGGCAGATTTTGTACTCCGCGTTCCTTTATATGTTGGCTAAGGCGTATTTTTTCTGGTGTGGGGGTCCCTAATTTGTTGGCGATGAACTGTCATCCTTTGCCAGAGTCACTGGGTGGTTTCGCCAATGGAATGTTCGTGGCAATCATTGCATGTAATTATGTGTATTAAATTCTCTGAGTCGCACGAGAAATCATTTTTAATTTTGAACTTTGATACGTCTATGAACTGAAACTCATGGCCTTCTAATAGGTAGCAAGGTGGTCGGTTGCATTTTTTTCACCTGAGGGTCTTTAATTGTGTTCTGCAGTTTTGCACTGGTCAGTATCTTTTTGTGATTTAGGTTGTCGTTTACTTTAATATTTATTTATTTTTATTTTATTTTAATTTGTTTTTTTAAATTTTATTTCAACTTAATTTAATTTAATTTATTTTAATTTTAAGTTATTTATTTTAATTTTAAGTTATTTTTATTACCATATTTATTTTAATATTTATTTATGTAATTTTATATTAATATAACACAAAATTTGTTATTGTGCATATATATATATATATATATATATATATATATATATATATATATATATATATGCCGTCTCGTTCACCGAGTGATTACCATCACTGACAACATCAGTCTAGCTTTTAAGTTCTCATGAGAAAAGTAATGAAGTTAGTAAGGGACTTGAAATTCTGATATGAAAAATAGTTATTTTGTTCAGCGCCTCACCTGCTTTGTCAAGTCTATCAAACTTGCCCGTGGGTTTTCAGTGACGGCAGAGACCAAAACTGTATCTAGAGGATTTTTCTGACCTCACCCTGCATTTCAAGTTATTCCCAGCCTGGTACTGATCGTAATTCGTGTAAATACGTACCGAGTGAAACTATACTCAAGACCGAGTAAGACTTACTCAAGACTTATATATTCCAATCGAATATTTCAGGCATAATATTAATAATAAAATATCAATATCAATAGTATAAATAGTATATAGTATCAATACTAAATTAACAATATTAATATAATAATAATGTTAATAATATTTATATAATAATAATAATAATAATAATAATAATAGCAACAATAATAATATTCACTACTAGCAGTAGAGCCCGGTGTTGCCCGGGGATGTAACAGTATGAGATAGATCAAGTATCGACCATCATAAAGACTGAAAAATAAAATTGACAAAGATCATTGTTTAAGGTTGACGGACACGCATGTCTTAATTAGTTTTTTTTTTTGCGAATTGGTCAAACCCAAATTCAAACAAAAACATTGTTTTCAATCATTATGAGTCTACCGATTGAATAGAATTTTATTTTAAACAATTGTTTTGTAAATGTAATTTTTAAAGCATTCTGAATGTAAAAATAAAGAAAAAAAGTGTGCAAGACAATAGGAAACACTACCTGCCAAAAAAAGTGAAGTTTTGTTGAAATCGTAACCCGAGAACCTTCTGTAGTAACTAATAACTGAATCACCTTGAAGTAGCCGAACAGTGGCTAACCACTCTACCAGACCTATGAGTTGACAAGTAGATTCATTTCAAGCTCAGAAGGGGATAAAAAGAATCAAAATCATCGTATAAACTCGTCTGTATATGGTTTTCGAACGTTCTGGGGTGTTCGGGAGACTTGTTGTCGCTTGATCTCCAGGGAAAGCCGCTCGTTAGAAATTGGTATGGAGACTGAATTGGTTCAAACAATATAATCTGTTTAAAAGCAGTTTTTTAATTCTTCAATTGTCGGCAAAGTCAGGCCTTCGTCTCGTTGGCATTTTTGCTATTGACCATGCTCCGTCAAGTGTGTGCGGGTGGAGGAGATGTGTACGGCAATCGGAAACGTTGTAGGAGATTTCTCGGCGCAAAAAAAAAAAAATCTGCTTGTCCGATAAGCGCCGCGTCAAATCTCACGTGAGACCCGATTTCAATTGAGTCGAAACTCGCACGTGGGCAGATAAATTTATTTATGGTTTGAAAAAGGCGCGAAATTCTGATCGGCTTTCTGCGAATGACTTCTTTTAATTTGTTCATAAAGAATTAGAAGAACCAGAGATATGAAAGTGGAAAAATACCCGGATAAAGTCGCTTTCTATTTTATTGGTGCTAAATAATGCTCGGATTTTATCTGTCCGTCTGCCGCGTATATCAATAGAATGGGAACGTTCTAATATGTAATAATGTGTTCGGTTGTGAATTACGAGGAACACTTGTTAAGAAAAGTCGACACTCCTATAAAACAAATGTAAGAACGGAAGGAATAATGAAACTAGTATAAAAATAAAACCATTTTAGTTCATACATACGACAGATGATTGATAAGTAAGGTCCAAATTCCAATAAAACAAGATTTAAACCAGATCGAATAATCAAATATTTTTGAAAATAGGAGATAAATGCATTTCTGTTCAAAATTACTAGGCTTGATTGACAAGGTCACTGATCTTACGAAGAAATTTTGAGACAAGATAGAATAATGAA